CAGTTTCTTCCACTTACAGGTCACTGGCCTGTCAGTGTCCTAGTTTGCGAATCAAAAGGGACTTGGCATCTCCTGAGGGCTTCCTCGGAGAACAGTGAGCGGAGACATCCTTGGAAAGAAGAGTCAGAGTGGGGGAGCGTATAATGAGAAGAGAGAGAAGAGACTGGGCTGGGGGTAGCGGAGGCTGCTGGCTGTGGGATGAGGACTCCGCTGGTTTCATAGGATGTTTCCCTGAAGATAGCCACTGTTTAGGAAGCAGGGTGCAGGAGGACACCCCTGCATCGATGCAGGCTGCACCAAGAGGTGAAGAGGGCAGGAGGAACGGAAGGACCACTCTGTCCCACTCCTTGGCGGCCTCACCTTTCTAAGGCTTCCACTGAGCTTCGCCGTGGACTCTGATTGTTCTTTCCTCTGCCTGTGTCCTGGGAGAGTGGGGGTGTGAGGTAAGTCCTGAGCAGAGGACCCCTGCAGTACCCCTTTCTCCAGAGCTGAGCTGCCTGTTTGGGGGCACAGGGCCCAGGCAGCACCCCTGGCTCCCAAAGGCAAAGCCTGTGCTCTCTGTGGATCAGCAGGAGCTAGGCCTGACTCTGAATGACGCCTTCCCAAACGCAGAAGGCGGGACCCTCTACTTCAGCAGGAACTAGAGGCTCTAATGAGCCTGAATGCAGACCACACAAATGTCTCTTTTCCTTGAAAACACCCTAGCAATGGACTCTTAGCTCCAGACAGAGCTGCTGGGAGAAGGGCCTGAGACCAACCTCATGAGGGCCAGGCACACCTCAATCCAGCCTCTGCCCACCCTCTACTCTGGGCGTGCAGCTTTTTCCTTTCCTGTGGCTCCACTGACTTCGGGGGTCACCTGCATTCCAACCTGGGGTGTGCAATTTTTTTCCTTTACACAGTTCTCTCTTCTTTCTTCTCCGTCATATTTCCTTAATAAAAGTACTTTGTTTCTTCATCATCTCCTGAAGTGCGTTTCTCAATTCAACCCTGGCACCACACTCCCCCCAAATCTTGGGTGGGAAGCAGGGATTAGTCCCCACAATGCACAGCAGTGGGGTCTTGGGAACAGCCTGACAGATGGTGGCCAGCCTGGGGCTGTCCACACTCTTTTAGGAGTTCGGACCCTTGGCACTTCCTAGGTAAGGTTGTGGTTATGGCTCTTTCTGGTGGGGCCACCCTGTTCTGTAGCCCCCAACACTGGCCAGATTTCACTTCCAGACTTAGGAGCTGCTGCATCCTGCACCTGGATGGGATTCACCAGTTACAATGTTCCCCTACCCACCTCCCACAGTGAATGGCACCAATAGTGGAGAAAGAAATTTTTATTTAAAAATAAAGGAATCCAACATTCTTTTGTTTCAAAAACATTAGCAAAACCCATTAAAGTAGAACCCTGATATATTAGTAAACAGTTTTTAACTTTTTTTAAAATACCGTTTTACAGCAAACCTTATCTCACACTTACATACAGCAGATAACAGGTTAGTTTGGGGGCCACCCCCAGGGGTGCTCAGGCTTACTCCCTGTTCAGCGATGCTCAGGGATCACTGCTGGCAGGCTCAGAGGATCAAACCCTTAGCCACATGCAAACTAAGTGCCCTACCCACTGTACTATGTCTTTGGCCCAGATACATTTTACAAAAAAAGAAACTAGAGTCTACAAAACAGTCACAAAAGTTCACTAAATTCTAGGTTGGTCCCTTTTATTAAAATTGCACTTGAGAATGAAATTTTTGAGTCTTACAAAAAGGACCAGAGTGACAGGCAGCATGCGCAGCACTTGCCCTGCCTGTGGTCCAGCTAGGTTCCATCCCTGACATACCATATGACTCCTGAGCATCGCCAGGTGTGTCCCCCCAAAAACAAATCAGAAAAAAAGTTTACACCCCAAGTCTTTATCCCCATTATTTGTGTTGATTTTTTTAAACTTCGTTTTTGGATAATGGGATGAGAAGAATTTATCTATGAGACTCAGTCAGAGTGGAACTGTGGTGATGATGAGGGAGAAGATGCTTCGAGAAGCTCTACCTGTAAGCAAATAACTGTGGTCTAACATGACAAGTAGTATGACAGGATAATGTTACAAGCAGTATAATGTTGTGGGACTATGAAAAGCAAATAGTCGAAACCATCCTGAAGGCTGGATTTTTTTATTACTCTTGTGCATACTAAATAGTGCTATCGCTCCAGAGTTCGATTCCTCTGCCCCTGAGGAGAGCCTGACAAGCTACCGAGAGTATCTCGCCTGCACGGCAGGGCCTGGCAAGCTACCCGTGATGTATTCAATATGCCAAACACAGTAACAACAAGTCTCACGATGGAGACCTTACTGGGCCCGCTTGAGCAAATCGATGAACAACGGGAGGACCGTGACCATGACCGTGATACTAAGTAGTATCTGTGAAAGCACAGAAGCAACAGACTAGGAAAGGAAAGAGAGTTTGGCAAAAAAACCAACCCAAGCTGGGAAGCATGTCTTGCAAAGAACATAGCAAGGTGGTTTCTATCAGCAACTATGTAAAGAGCCACGCCCGAACATGCTGGCCACGCCAGAGCTGCACCTGGCCTGTGCTCACAGGCATGCACCTCACCGCTTGTACATCGTCTTGGGCCCTTTTGGCTTTCCTTGCCTTTGGGCTTTTTCCCTTTTTTTCTTTCTGACCACCCCAGCGATGCTCAGGGGAGACTTCTGATTCGACTCTCAAAAGCTACTCCTGGAGGTGCTCAGATCACAGGGGCGCTGGGATCAGACCCTGTCCCAACCATGGGACTAGTCAACGTAGGTAACAGGAAGAGGGTGTGAGAGTGAGACAGAGAGCAGGATTATAGTGAGCAGAAGCTGAAGCTGCTTCATTGTAAATTCAACAGTACTTATATACATTGAGTTTAAGCTTTGTCCCTCATAGCTTCGGGGCAGAGGCAAAAAAAAAAAGGGTAGTCATGGAACAGATGGGGAGAGAACAGGTTATCTCGGCTCTTCAAAAGGCTACTCATTAAATCACAGGCTGACATCAAGTTCTAGCTCCTGTTGGCCATACATCCTAATTTTGTAAAATGCCTTTCTTAACCCTGTAAACATTCTTCTTCTTTTTGGGGGGGGGTCACACCCAGCGATGCACAGGAGCCACTCCTGGTTCTGCACTCAAGAATCACTCCTGGCACTGCTCAGGGGACCATATAGGCTGCTGGGAACCGAACCCGTGTCGGCTGCATGAAAGGCAAACCCCCTACCTGCTGTGCTATCGCTCCAGCCCCAACTCTGTAAATATTCTATAGGCAATGTCTTGCGAAAGCTATACACCCAAGAGCCCACTCACTATAGGACCCATGCTGGCTGCATGAAAGGGAAGCACCCACCCAACCTCTGCACTAGCTCTCGGGTCCCAGGTTTAGCTTCTTTTATCCAAAAGTTTTTAGAATTTGTGTGTGTGCGTGTGTGGGGGGGAGGGGAGGGGGGACAGAGTAACAACGTTGTTTGATCACATAAATTATTTGGATAGAAATTTTACTAATCTGTTTTTTGCAAAGACAGATCTATAGTTAGCTATGACTTTTCTTAGGATTTTTTAAAACAATACACTAACCTTCCAACTTAGCTTGTCATTATCAAAATGACTAAGGCTTGGGGCTGGAGAAACAGTACAGTGGGGAGGGCGCTTGCCTTGCACACAGCCCATAGGGTTCAAACCCCAGCCCCCTGGGCCAGCCCTGAGGGTAGAGTCAGAAGTAAGCTTTGAGCAGAGTCAGGTGTGGTTCAAAAAGTAAAAGAAGCAAAATGACTCAGATCATTCTTAGTTTACTTTGCCTGCTGGAGCCTTGGTTCAGCTGCGGGGCCAGGAGTAGCCTGGGAGCAGCCCTTGGGCCCCTCTCCCGCTGCACGCCCTGCTCAACCAAAAAATACAATTCAAACTTAAAAACTCACAAACACTTAAATTTCACAGATATATCAAGGTTAAGAGTTAAAATTTCTGAAGATTTTACAAAAAATTTTAAAAGCTTTAGAATTTTTTGTCTGGGGACCTCACCGGCCAATGCTCAGGGCTTACTGCTGGCTCTGTGCTCAGCCGTGACCCCTGGTGTTGGTCAGAGAACCAAAAGTAGTTGGGCAGTTTTGAATCAAGAATGGCAAGTGTTTGACACCCAGGCCCCAAATTTTAGTTGTTTTTTTTTTTTGTTTGTTTGTTTGTTTTATAAAATCTCCTATAGACATCATATATCAGCATGATTTCTAAGCAGGTAAGATAATAGGAAAATATCTGACACAATGTTTCACATCATATCTGGAATACAAAAATGCAAAGAGAATGATTTCTGCCATATTTCATAGGGCAAACATCTCTAGGAGGCAGCAAAAACATGTATAATATAAAAATTAATATGTTAATACCAATTAACATCAATAGTAATAATACTATAATTAACATATATTAAGATGAGATCTATCATTTTAACTCTATCTGAAGAAATCCATTCTGGCTTCTTCTTAATGGAACCCTCGTTGGGCCACATTCGAGACTCTTTCAGAGTCAGGAGAATGAGACCCACATTGTTACTGGTTTTTGGCATATTGAATACACCACGGGGAGTTTGCCAGACTCTGCCGTGTGGGCAGGATACTTTTGGTAGTCTGCCAGGTTCTCCAGATTTAAAACTAGATAATAAGCACACACAGTCATAAAAAATTTGTCACAGAGTAGAAACTAATGCATATTGTCAGTTAATGTTTTTCTTGTCAGAGGTCAAACTGTATACATCTTACACATGCACGAAGTCCTCTACCACTCAGCCAAATCCCACAGCTCTGCCCTTAGGGATCACTCTGGTGGGACTCGGGACTGAACCCGGGTCGGCCGTGTTCAAGGCAAGCACCTTCCCTGCTGGACTGCTGGTGTGACCTGTTGTTCTGTGAGTTCTCCAAAGGCAAGTTGACATGTTTATTTGTAGTTTTGCTTACTGTAATGAGTCTGTATTGCTATCAACTTTCTTCTTAACACTGCTTTTGCTATTACCCAGACCCTGGCAGTCTGTTGCTTATTGTTAGTCTTGAAGTTTTTTTTTTTTTTCTTTTTGGGTCACACCAGGCGATGCACAGGGGTTACTCCTGGCTTTTCACTCAGGAATTACTCCTGGCGGTGCTCGGGGGACCATATGGGATACTAGGAACTGAACCTGGGTCCCGTGTGCAAGGCAAACGCCCTTCCCGCTGTACTGTCACTCCAGCCCTTTGAAGTTATTTTTAATTTAGATTTTGTGGTGCTCTATCACCTTTCTGAATGCCTGCAGCTAGTTCTTTAAGATCAGGAAGTTCTCAGTTGTGATTTCCTTGACTAGACTCTCTTTGCCTTCTGATTAATCCATTATTTTTATGTTTCCTCTACCAAAGGAGTCTGATTCTTCCAGTTCTTGCAGGATTTCATCATTCTTCCCTAAATCTCATTTGTCTTTCTTCCTTTTGAGTCATTACAGGAATCTTATTCTTTAGCCCAATCATTCTTTTCTCTGATGCATCGAATCCCTTGCTCTATTTTCACAGAGTCTTTCACTTCAGCGCGCTTTCAGATCAGCATCTCTGGGATTTTTTATAGCTGCAGTCAGGTGAAGAATTCCTTCTGTTCCTTTATGTTCTTTTTTATTTTGTTAATGCTTGACTTTGCGTTAAACTTCACTTGATACAGCACACTGATTTCCTGCATAGTTGCTATGTTTTAATTCACTGTTAGATTCCTCACTTCTAAGTCCTTAAAATCGACTTCTGAAGACAATCCTTTCTCTTTCATTTTGTCACTGAATTTGAACTTTTAAGGCATTTGGTTTTCTAGGGGAGATGCTGTGACTCAGCCAGGACCACAGGACGTCAGGTGTGTGTGTAGAGAGGCAGTTGAGTTTCCTTCAGTAGCGAGACAGTGATGCAGTTAGAGCATAAAATCCCCACCATCCCCCTTACACTTGGCACCAGATCTGTTTCCAAACTGAACACAGAGAACTGCCGAATCTTCCCTGAGATGCAGAAGTAAGTGCTCCAAAGACAGCTCTTCATGGCCACTCAGGGGCCCAAGGAGGGGCTCAGACAGCCTCTATGACAGCACAGCAGTGTCTGGCCGGTTCACTCAGCTCTCGGCTGCTGCTCCTCCGGAGAGGAACTCAACAACATCCTGGAGACTTGGTTGTCCAGAAACGCCTGGCCCTCTGCTGCAGTAATGTCCACTACCAGGCCTCCATAGCTGGCCACAGGCAGCTCAGACATGCCTCTCCCCATCCTGCCAACACCAGGAGGCCACCTATTTTCCAAAGTGCCCATGCATGGACTGGCCAGACACCTGGCAGTGGGTGGGTGTGAGAGTCTGACCACTGCAAGAGGGCGCAGGCCGAGTTCTGGCTGTGCAAAAGGCATTGTTGACCAACAGTTTATTTTGATGATTCTGAGGCATCTGCTATCAGTTCCCTCTTACTTTGGGAGCTGGGGTGAGGTTGGGGTTTGGAGCTGCAGCTGGGAAGTGACTGTAGCGACTGTGTCTTCAGAGGCTGCAGGTGAAGCTGCCAGAGTTTCTTCAGGCACAGTTATATTTGAACTGCAACCTGCACGGTTCTGCAATGCTTGAGTGAGTCAATTCACCACATACCTGAGTAGTGCATCCTCTATTATCATTCATCTGAAACAAGAAATAACAAGTTCCTGTTAGTAACAGGTAAACGTAGTGAATGTGTTCTATAAACCAACAGTGTTCACTGCCCCCTCCTTGCCTTGAATGGAAGGTGCCCTTTTGTGTTAAACCAAGAGCAGGCCAGGGAGCAGGCTGGAGGAGCCTGACATCGGGCCTCTGGGGTTGGTCTGGGCTTAGTGTCTGAGTGCTCCAGTGCCAGCACTGGTGAGCCAACTCGGGGCCCACAGACCAGGTTGGTCTCCTGACACCTTTCCAGTAACAGAGCTTAGTCAGGGAGACCCAGGTACGGCCGTGCTGGGACACCTGCGAACAAGGCCACCAAGATGTGACGGCTAGTGGAGCTCCTTCAAGTCATGCTCCCCAGGTCTTCTGTCTTTCACCGAGTCCCCAGACCAGAACAGGCTCCCCAACAGCTGCATCCTTGGCAACGGGCACGGAGAGTGAGGCGAGCCCTGGGCCAGGGCAGGCAGGTGGGGCATAAGTTTTCCCTTCAAAGGACCTTTCCAGTGTATGCCGGGAACTCAGGCGAGGGGGTGAAGTGAGGGGAAGTGTCAGATCAGCTCCCCCAGCCCCGCATTCTTCCTGCTTGTGGGGCTGGATACCCCCGTGCCCTACGCAACCTCTCACACCTGCCGCCCACTGCCACAGGACCAGGCGTGCAGCTCTGATGTGGTTGCTCCCTGGCACGCCGCTGAAGCCTCCCTTCCCAGAGAACAGGGTTCTCCTGCCGTCTTTATCAATGTTTCCTTCAAATTCAGAGCAGCCCTTCCCTGAAACCGTCCATGCTGGGCCCATTCCTTCTGGGCTGGGTAGCTCTTCCTGGGTCCCCCGTGTGATGACTTCTCCTCTGTCCCCAGAATGTGCATCCCTCCCCAATACCTCCCTGGCCTTGGCCTGCCATGGCTTTGCAAACCCTTTCTTCTATGCTCACTTATCCAGGGATTTTTGGTTTTTTACACCCTTCACTTTATCCCCTTCCTTTGGCTTCTCTTCCTCAATCACCACTGCCTTGCCTTTGCAATCAGTTTGTCTGTTCATCAGTTACAGGTCAAATAACCCAACGTTTGCCTTTTCTCTTCTGACTTACTTTACATCACATAATTCCTCAGAGCTCCTTCCATTTGGTTGCAAATGGGAAAATGTCACGTGTGTGTGTGTGTGTGTGTGTGTGTGTGTGTGTGTGTACATCTTTGTAAACACTGTGGTTTACAAAGCAGTTCATGATGATTTGTTTCAGGCATTCAATATTTGAACACCAATCCCACCACCACTATTACCTTCCCTCCACCACAGTAAACAATATTCTTAATCATCCCTCAGTCTGCCCCTGTAGCAGGCTCACAACAATATATTTATTTTGCTTGTTACCTATAATTTGCTAATGGGATCATCAAAAAATATTTCTTAGAAGAAAGTGGGTATAAATTGTCGTATCTCACCATGGAGACACTAAGTCTGTGTATGAGGGATTACTCATGCAAGTGAAGCCTCTGTGTTAACATTTTGGCTGGTAGAGATTGGTTGGCTTCTGCATTACACCAACCCCATCTGGTGTGCCCCTACTGATCATCAGTGTGAGAGAGTGGAGGCATCGAACAGCCATGAATGTAGCCACACACTTCAGGAAATTTAGTTTTTTTCTGGGCTGTACAGCTGGAGTTAAATTTTTTTTTCTTCTTGGGTCACACCCAGCGATGCACAGGGGTTACTCCTGGCTCTGCACTCAGGAATTGCTCCTGGCAGTGCTTGGAGGACCATATGGGATGCTGGGAATCAAACCCGGGTCAGCTGTATGTAAGGCAAACACCCTACCCACTATACTATTGCTCCAGCCTGGGAGTTAAATTTTTAACTGGATGGCAGCTCTGGGATGTGAACATGACTGTCACGGCTTCTAGAAGTACAGGGAGGTGTGGGGGGTTAGGCGGGAATAGCCCATCACAACTCTGAGAAAGCCTGCGGATTTCAGTCACTGGGACCTCTGTACCTGAGTTTTTAGCAGGTTATTTTCTCTGTGTTAATGTTTTCTTTGTCTTAAGGTAGATGCCACAAAGTGGGATTGCTAGATCATATGGTAGCTAACTTTTTTGAGAGAGGGGCACACCTGGTTGTGCTCAGGGCTAACTCCTGGTTCTGAACTCAGAATCATTCTTGGCAGTGCTGAGGAGACTCTGTCTACTACTGAGGGTCAAATCAGGTCAAATCATGCTCAAGGCAAGCCTTGTACTATACCTGCTGTACTATCCCCTCCAGCCCTACCGTTAGCTTCTTTTTTGATTTTATTTTTGGCCACACTAAGCAATTCCTGGGATTATTCCTGGCTCTGCACTATTCCTGGTGGTGCTCAAAGGGCCAAGTGGTGTGCCGGGGATCGAACCTGGGCCAGCTCCTTGCTCGCACACTCCCAGCCGGCTATACTATCACTCTGGCGTCCCTGTCTTTAACTTCCTAAGGAAGCTCTATAGCAAGCTCCAAACCGATTACCCCACATTTATAACCCTCTTAAAACAATTTACGAGAGCCCCCTCTGCAACCCCACTGAACGAATGGCATTTAGTATTTAAATAGGAAGGAAGCACACAGAGCACAAGTTCTGCACAGTACACATTGCTCATCTAAGAGAAGTGATCTCGGGGCTGGAGTGACAGCACAGCAGGTAGGGCGTCTGCCTTGCACACGGCCAACCTGGGTTTGATCCCTGGCCCCCATATGACCCCCTGAGCACCGCCATGAGTAATTCCTGAGTGCAGAGCCAGGAGTAACCCATGAATATTGCTGAGTGTGACCCAAAAATACTGTTAATAATGGCTTACTTTCCCTTCCCCAAAAGAGCCTGGTCCTGCCTCCTGCTATGTTGAGAACAGCCACCTCTTCTGCACACCATGGGATGAGAATTCCTGTGACAGTTGCTTTCTTTCTTGTGAGGTAATAAACACCATCATGGTCATCAGGAATATCTACTGAGTGCTTCCAGGAGCCGCCATGACTCTAAACATCTTGTGTTGTTTCTACATGTTGTCATTTCTACATTTATGACCTGTCTTCTTGTCACTATTTGCAGGTCACTGTGAGGTCCCTTCTTCCACAGAGGCTGCTGAGATACAGAGTTGACCTGCCCAAGGCGTGTAAGATGGAGCTAGCACTTGAGGTGAAACCGGGGAGTTTGGTGCCAGGACCTGAGTCCCGAGCTGGAACTCTTGCTAAGCTGATCTTATTTCTCTCAACATCAGTGCTCCCTGTTCATGCTTCCACTCCCACCAGAACTCAGGACTTCTGCCAGGCTTGGCTGAACTCATTCACTCAGGGACCCCCACTTCCTCTCCAGCCTCCTGTGCTCCCCCCGCAGTGAGCTTTCTGAAGAATGGCCTTGATGAAAGATCCTCAGGGGCTGGAGCGATAGCACGGTGGGCAGGGCATTTGCCTTGCATGTGGCGAACCCGGGTTCAATCCTGGCATCCCATATGGTCCCGAGCACCAGCAGGAGTGATTCCTGAGTACAAAGCCAGGAGTAACCTCTGAGTATTGCTGGGTGTAGGCCATAAATCAAAACAAAAACAACAAGGAAAATCCTGAAATTCCTCAGGGAAAAAAAAATGATAGAAGCTGCCAGTCACAGCACTGTTCTCCAACCCTGTGATATCCATTGACACACACACGTCGCCTCGCGATCCACTAGCTGGCCCACACCACCCAGGGTCCTGCGCCTTCTCACAGCCCTGAGCCCACAGGGGTCCCTGCTCATATCAGTGCCAGGTCCTACCTTCCCTCTCGTCACAGGCTGACTCTGGCTTCTGCAGTAACTCTGAAGCTTGTTCCTGAGCTTCAGGAAATGTGCCTGAGGGGGAAATAAGAGGAGACTGTGTGATGGAGGCTGCAGTCTGAAGACCCGGATTCCCATCCCAGCTCCAGGTCTTGCAGTTGCACACTCACGTCTCTAAGCAAGCTGGACCAAGAACCCCCCCATGCGGCTCCCTGGAGGATTCAACATGGGAAGCAGCTGGCACAGCAGCTGGGCACAACAGGTGGCTAGTAACCCGGTAGGAGTACCCCCGTGATTAGTGCCCCTGTGGCAAGAACCCCTGTGGGAGTACCCTGTGATTAGCACCCCTGTAGGAGTACCTCTGTAGTTGATACCCCTGTGGTTGGTACCCTGTGGGAGTACCCCTGTGGTTGGTGAGGCGAGTATGATAATCACAATACTAGGACACCTCCAAACTCCCGTGGTTGGTAACCCTGGCTTCTTGGGCTCTGCTGTATCAGTCAGTGCCCAGGCCTTACCTACCTTCGCTCTCGTCACAGGCTGGCTTTGACTCTGAAGCTTGCTCCACATTTCCTGAGGGGAGATAAAAAGGACTGTGTGATGGAGGCTGCAGTCTGAAGACCCGGCTCCCGTCCCAGCTCCAGCTCTCTGAGTCTAAGCAAGCAGAACCAAGATACCCACCCACACACCCCACCCCATGCGGCTCCCCAGAGGATTCAACATGGGAAGCAGCTGGCACAACAGGTGGCTAGTAACCCTGTAGGAGTACCCCTGTGATTAGTGCCCTGCGGTTAGCACCACTTTGGTAAATATCCCTGGGTTAGTGCCCTAGGAGTACCCCTGTGATAAGCACTCCTGAGGTGCGTACCCTGTGGCTAGTACACCTGCTGATGTCTCTTCCTGCTGTTCAACAGGTGAGTAGAATCTGGCATCCCAGTAATACCCACTTCTCATCAGGGCTAGCCCCTTTCTGAGACTTGACATTCCACACACCCTATGCCGAGTCTTCAGTTACTTACCTGGAGATCTAGTGTTTTGTCTATGGTTGAAAATACCTACAGATAAGAAAATGCCATTGTAATGAATGAGTTGAAAAGAGAAGCTGAAGCCTCAGACCCAGCGCCTGTCCACCTAGATTGCCTACTTTCCCAGTGCTTAGAGCAAACAGCTGGCAGCAGCCTCATGAGTTGTCTGGAGGGAACAGGTGGGATTGGTTCCCGCGCACGCCCCTGGGTGTGACCCTGGAGGCTCCGGAGCACCAATGGGGAGACCTGGGTAACACCCAACACCACGGCACACAGTGCTGAGGACTGGAGGAGGGGTCTGAGCCTCCCGAGCCCCACTTAGGAAGGTCCCCCACAAACAGAACAGATGACATAACACAGTTACTAGTAAATAGTTAATTGCACAGGGCCCTGGGAAGTCTGAAGTAGTGCTGCTCAGCAGAAATATAATGGGAGCCACCTAATTAATAAACATTTTAATTTTACTAATTTACTTTTGGTTTGGTGGCCACACTCGGCAATGCTCAGGGCTGACCCCCGGCTTTGCACTCAAGAATTACTCTTGAAGGGGCTTGGGGGACCATATGGAATGCTGGAGATCAAACCTGGGTCATCTATGTACAAGGCAAGGACCCTAGATGCTGGCCCCAATTTTATTTAAAAAAAATACTTCAAGGGCCTCCCAAGCAGCCTTTCCCCTTCCCCCCCTACTCCCCCACTCCCATCAGTCCTCAGTATTTGGGGCAAAAGCTAACTGCAGAGCTCTGGGGATGCAGAGCCTGCCGAGTGGGCTGTGGTGCTTCAGGGAGCCACCAGGGCTGCCCCTGACCATCGTGCTCAGGGCACCATGCAGTGCCAGGGACCAACCTGAGGCTGGCCACAGTGCCAGGCAAGTGCTGACCCCTGCACTGTCCCTCCAGTCTAGTTTCCTGTTGTGAGTTGTGGGAGCCACAGTGGGCAGTGTCCAGGCCACTTCCCTGGCCCTACTAATTTCAAAGTTGCAGTATCCACATTAAGAAGAGTCATTTCCAGAGTTTATCCCATTAGACCTCAAGCATTACAATACCATCCACATTATCCGTGAGAAATGTTGTAGTCCTTTCCTCACACTGAGTCCGACAAAATTGTGTGTGCTCCATACCTTTCCACTCCTTAGACTCCCAGCACTGAGCAGGCATGTGTTGGTGGCTGCTGACTGCCGTGTGGTGATGAGCGCAGAGACGCAACTGTCCCCTCATGCAGGCAGCAGGCTCCTGAGAGGCCTCAATCCTCACCCAGAGCACAGGCTTACTGAGCACCTTAGGAGTTGGGCCCCACCGTCAGGTCCAAGGAATGACTTTTAGCATGGAGATGCTTTCAAATACAGTGGTTTTTCTAGAACAATTGTTTTCAGGGTGTAGAGCTAACCTGAAGTGATTTTCTTCTGCAATTTTCTCCTCACTGAACAAGACTTTCAAGTCAATCATTCTTGTAAGTACGCGGCTACCAGTGTCACCTTCTTTAGGATTAGGTCCTTTGGTGGTAGGTCCACATAATTCTAATCAGTGGAAAGCAATTTCAGTATCTCAGGACCAGTCTGTTATGAGAATAGCTCATTATTCTGCTTTCATTTGGACATAAAAAAATAACTGCTTTAGACTGTGGATGTGGTTTGGTGCTAGGATACAGCCTTTAAATGTGTGAAGCTCTGCACGCGATCCCTGGCACTGAAAATTACACAGCAACCAACCTGGTGGTGGGGGGACTCCCCATCAGTGCTCAGGAAGTCCCACAAGCAATTCTGGCCAGTGCAAGGAGGATGAGATGCTGCTCAGGCCTGCACAGCTGAGCGTGACCCGGGCCACTGGGTGCTACCCACGGCTCTAGGGCTATATCTGATGATGCTCAGGGACCACACAGTGCTAAGAATCAAGCCAGGCCAGGCATATACTAGGCACCTGCCTTGACCACTGTTCTACCTTCCATCCCTGAACTAAACCTTCAAAACAGAACACCTGAGCTTCCCCTATGCTTTCTCAATGAGGATTCAAAGTGTACCTCAGCTGAACCGCATTACTTGTTTAGAGGCAAAACAAATGGCCAGTGACCTATTACTTAGGAGTCATGGCATCTGACACCTCTAGCATGGAAAGGGTATCCTCAGGAACTAGGCTGCAGGGCTGGAGTGATCGTGCAGTGGGCTGGGCACTTGCTTTGCATGCAATCAACTTGGGTTCAATCTCCAGCTTCCCACAAGGTCCCCCAGACTTTTCCAGGAGGGATTCCTGGGTGCAGAGACAGGAGCAACCCCTGAGCATTGCTGGGTGTGACACAAAAAACAAAGAGCTAGATTCTAGCCAGGGAGACAGCTTGGCCTGGCACATGTGCTTCGTACGTGGAGCACTGAGGTTGCCCCTGGCCTGCGTGGTTGGCCAGGCACCACTGAGAGCAACTCCTGAACACAGAGCTAAGACCCCCAGCAGCCCAGGTGTGGCTCAAGAAAGTGTGCCAATCTTCCCCAGGCAGTCTAGGTCACCACTGGCCAGTGGAACTTTTCTAGTGATAACATCTGGGCTGTGGCCACTGTGGCCACTGGCCCCTGGTGACTATCGAGTACCTGGCACCTGGGATGTGGCTAGTGCAACTGAGAAATAAATTCTATTTATTTCATTTTAATTAGTTCAACTTGGTATTTCAACCACAACATGCTAGTAGTGCCCAAATGAACTGAGTAGTGAAATCCAGGGAAACAGAAACCTAACTTGCAAGCTTGTTCAAACATGAGTCTCTCTCTCTTTTTTTTTTTTTTTTTGGCTCTTATGCACCCCCTCCAAGACATGAGTTTATAATGACATGGACCCTCAACGCCATGAACCTGTAGCCAGCCGCTCTCCGGCCTTCCCTGGGGGAGTGACAAATGAGTCATACACATGTGCTTATGGTGAAGGCTGTTAGAAAAAAGCCTTTTTTGCTGGGGGCTACAGTTCACCAGCCCTTCACATTTACAGTTCGCTTCATGTCCTTTGGGACTTGAGGAGGGAAAAGGGGAAGCTAAGCAAGGCAACATCCACCAAGGCCAGCACAACTACTTCTCACTCCAAGCCATCCCACTCAGCAAAGATGCCTTCCAGGCCAGCACTCTGCCTGGGCTTTGAGACAAGGAAGTGCAAGAGACAGGGAATTCTGAGAAATACGGCCTGGAGGTCAGAACAACAGTACTGAAGAGATACATACAAAGAAACCTATGGAACAGGCCCAAGGGGTACTGGGGGCCGAGAGGTAGTATAGCAGGTAAGGCACTTGCCTTGCATGCAAACAACCTGGGTTTGATCCCCAGCACCCCACATGGCCCCCCCAAGCCCCACCAGGAGAGGTCACTGAGCACAGAGGCTGAGTACTGCTGGATGTGGCCGCTGAAAAAAATAACAGATGAATAAAGGGCTCCATGGCTCCTGCAAAGCTCACTCTGGTCTGAGGGTTCACTCTCCCATTTGAGAGAAGGCAGCATCGTAGAAGGAACCTGGCACACCTGGCAAGCCCAAATTAGCAAAGTGAGTGTGCTGCTCTCACCATGTCTGAAACGTCCAATGCTTTCTCATCTTTCAACTCTGGTTATTGAGCAACTGATTCAAGTTTGAAAAAGCATTATTTTTTAAACAAGTTTATTGCTTTTGGTTGTTTTCGTTCTTTTGGGGCCAGACCTGGTGATGTTCAGGGCTTACTCCCGGCTCCACACTCAAGAATTACTCCTGTCCTGGTGGTGCTCAGGGGATGCCAGGGATCAAACCCAGGTCAGTTTCATGCAAGGCAAGCACCCTACCTGCTGTGCTATCTCTCCAGTCCCTGAAAAATTTTTTATGCACTTCATGTGAACTCAAAAGTATACATACCATAAACTGCTACTGCTAAGGTCAGTGCAGAGAGGATTAGAAACCACCGTTTCCTTGGATAATGTGCTAAAATTAAAAAATATGATATGATTAGCTGAACTGACCACAATACAGAAATAGTCAATCCTCCTTATTTACAATGTACTTATTAAATTTTACTTGTATTCCACAAATAAATACATAGAGTGTAGCTTTTATATCCTTTCACAGATGAGATAAGAACAGTGAAACTAAAAATCTGGAATTAAGTGCTGTTAGGGTTCAAACCTAAGGCTTCATCTATGCAAAGTAGCACTCCACCAGAGGCCCAGCCCCAGCCCGGACCCCTGCCCCAGCCCAGAAGAGCTCTGGTCTGTCCCAGGCACAAGCTCTGGTGAGGCAGGAAGGTCCATACTCTGTCCGCGGCACCCTCCTGAGCTGCTTAGCACCAGGCCTGTACACTGGATGCTTTCTCTTGCTATTTCATTAGACTTATTAGTGACAACTAGGTCGGTGGAAAGAGCACAGAGGAGGGTGCAGAGGGAGGACAAGGAGGGAGGGCACAGAGGGAGGGCATGGAAGGAAGGAATAGAAGGAGGGCACGGAAGGAAGGCACGGAGAGAGGGTACGGAGGGAAGGAAGAGAGGGAGGGCCCGGAGGGAGGGCACAGAGGCAGAGGCCAGGGCAGAGGCAGAAGCAGAGACAGACAGGCCTGCACTCCTTAATATCCTGGCTCCATACCATAGGCTGTGTGCGGTCCCAGCACAACTGGGGGTTCCCAGCACCGTGTTCAAGCGTGCCAGCACCACTTCACATGGCCCCTCCCCAGCTCTGGGTGGGAATCCTGTGAGCACAGCAATCAATGTATGTGCAAACATCACAACTAAAGTGAGTGAGCCTGTAAGGATGGTGAGTGAGCACCAAGCCAAGTGTGTCATCCCCAGTGACCACAGCAGCAGCAAATGACAACAATAAGGGAAGGGTATGGGAAAAACAGAAGTGAAACACCAAATCTACAGGCAATAGGGATGAGATACATGGACAACAGATCAGCGTGTTTACTGCACCAAAGCATCCATTTTCCAATCAATGATATTCGTTTCACATGGTTGACAGGGATAGTACTAGAACCTTTTCTCGACTTATTTTGACAGGGAAGAACATCTCACATGGACATTTCATTTGAAAGTTAAATGAAAATCATGCAAGGGCAAGTGCTTGCAAAGTAAGCCTAGGGGAGTTTTTTTCCCTGGAATTATCTCCTCAGGGCCAGGGGCGGGGGCGGGGCGGGGGGGGGGGGGGAAGGAGGGGCGGCGGCGATGGTGTTAGGGAACATGGAGGGGAAAAAAATCCAAAAATCTTTTGTACCAGTATCTAGTAATAAAAATTACATATTTTAGAAAGATTAAAATTCATTAAGTATACCTGTAATTCTTAAGTGTTGATATCAACATTGAAATAAAAATTTCCTCACCAACATTTAAAAAAGAAAAGGAAAGGAATGATCTCAAGAATCATTCCTTGGGGGCGGAGCAATAGTACAGCGGGTTGAGCATTTGCCTTGCACGTGGATGACCTGGGTTCAATCCCTGGCATCCCATATGGTCCCCTGAGCACCGCCAGGAGTAATTCCTGAGTGCAGAGCAAGGAGTAATTTCTGAGCATCGCTGGGTATTACTCCAAAACAACAACAACAAAAAATTATTCCTCTGGAAACAGCTGAAGCTCCTCAAGGGTTCAGCTCCCTTGTCTATTTCGTGCCTGCCTCTTTATCTCAGTATTCTGTGTACTCCACACACACACCAGAAGCACTCTGGCTCTGCGTGTGTGTGCATGTGTGTGTGCGTGTGTGTGTGTGTGTGTGTGTGTGTGTAAAACCACTGTAAAGAAATTATCTGCTAGAATACACATCCCATTTCCATAATCTGCCTTGGGTACTATCAAACAGCCAAACACTAGGTGAAATGAAGAACAGTGTTCACTCTGAGCATAACAAAATGATTAACTCTGCGAGCTGAGTTTTTTGTTGTTGGTTTTTTTTTTTTTTGCTTTATTTTGGATTCTGTCTGCTTCGAAAGTTGGGGAAAACTGGGAGCTTACAGTTAAACCTCAGTATGTATGACAAGTGATAAGATTTAGTCTTATCACTTGTGGGTTAAACAGTTGTTTTCCTGACGTTTCACACGAAGTTTAATATGAATTACTCCTCCAGTTATTATATTTTGGACTGAATGAAACTATGTGAACTACTGGAGTCATGATTTTGGCAGGAGGGGGTCAGGAAAATGTCCCAAAAGGACTTACTCCAATATGATTATTCTGCTTTTCTTTTGAGAAAGCTAATATCCTAAATTGACCATTTTACAACGTGCATGTCCAGCTCTGAGTATTTCCTCTTTTTCTTTTAATTTTTATTAGTGAAACACCATGAGGTACAGATGTAGATTTACAATTTTTTGTGCTTGGGTTTCGATTATACAATGATCAGATACCCATCCCTCCACCAGTGCCCATTTTCCACCACCATGGATAATATCCCCCCCACCCCCATCCCCCCATCCTCCCCTGCCTCTGTGGCAGGGCAATCCCCTGTGTTCTCTCTCTCCTTTTGAGTGTTGTGGTCTGCAAGCGAGCTGAGTTTTAAAACCTCTTGGTGGTTATGTGATTTGTATCCATATGAGTGACTCCACTGAGGATGTGATCTTTTTCTGTCTTTAGCAACAAAATCCTGTTGCAAATTCAAAATGGTTTTGCACTTAAAAAAAGATAATACATGAGGGGCTGGAGAGAAAGGACAGAAGTTAAGGCACTGGCCCTACATGTAGACAACCTCAGTTCAATGCTTGAACAGGAATGCTTGAGGATTGAATTAACACTCTGTCTATAATGGAACCTGAGAGTAAGTGCCAAAAGTGTTAATCTTGAAATCAGATGTCTGTGAAAACAGTAACCCACTATATGATGTCTCAGATCTGTGAAATATACATCTGCCTCTACAGGTGTGCTTGGACGCTCACAAACCTTTGCCTGCTATCTCCTGAAACCTCACTTGTATAAGGTCCATTTGCCATAACACATAGTTACTTACCTGAGCTATCCGGTACCAAAGAAATTGATGAATTTGCCTGGAACAATGGATTGCTAACAATACAACATATTTTCTGTGGATGATCATCTGTCTCTCCAAATACTATATCAAATGTTGAACTATTTGCACACTTTGGTACAGAGCAGTTCCATGATACTTTTACATTTTCTAAATGGCTCTGGTAAGACGCTGGGATTGAACACGTGACTATAATGCTGCTATTATTCGATTTAAAACTTATTTCTGGAGATGGAAGAGGTTCTGGAAAAAAAAAAGAGAGAACGCAGTACTTAGTACAGAAAAGAACAGCATTTATACTCCAAGTATCCACATTTATGAAGTACCCTTCAAATTCTCATCCATGAACTTAAAAAGACAAGCAGACTGTTTCCTTGAGAGAATTCTCTTTTTCAGGTCAGATCTAGCTGCCCAAGTTGAGAATATGTAAGAGTTGCTAACATCCCTTAGCCTCAATTCTGAAATCAAAGAAGTTCTGAAAGACCAGAAGTTTTACATAAATGGATTTGTTCCTGAGTCTCTTGGATCATGGATGTTAAGCAACTTGATCAGGAGCCAGAAAGGTCATTCGTGGGCGGTGAATCGGGGTCTCGTTGGGATGGGGAGGAAAGATCTGGCTCCACCCCCCATCCTGTGAGGCCCCGCATCTCATCACTGAGGGCCCAAACCTGACTGTCCAATGGCCTCTGGAGCATCGCAGCCACCGAGCCACCTAGGGGGAGCAGGTGGAGGAACAGCACCCTTTCCCCCCTGGAATGGCCCGGCGACAGTAACATACTGCGGGGTCTAGATGCATATCTGCCAAAAGCCACTGGGTTCTGAGATTTGTTTCTGAGTCTCCGGGATCATGGCCATTAAGCAGCTTGATCAGGAGCCAGAGAGCCCATTTGTGGACGGCTATTTGGGGTCTCAATGGGATGGGGAGGAAAGGGCTCCACCCCCATCCCATGAAGCCCCACGTGTCTTGTCACTGCGGGCCCAAACCTGCCTGTCCAATGGCCTCTGGCAGATGGCAGCCACTGAGCCGCCACGGGGGAGCAGGTGGAGGGACTGCACCTTTTCCCCGCTGGGGTGGCCCAGCGACAGTAACCTACTGAGCAGTCCAGATGCATTTCTGCCAAAGGCTGCTGGGTTTCAAGATTTGTTTGAGTCTCTGGGATCATGGCTGTTAAGCAGCTTGATCAGGAGCCAGAGAGGCCATTCGTGGGTGGCAACTCGGGGTCTCGTTGGGACGGGGAGGAAAGGGCCAGCTCCACCCCCATCCCGTGAGACCCTGCGTGTCTCATTACTGTGGGCCCAAACCTGACTGTCCAATGGCCTGTGGCAGATGGCGGCCACCGAGCCGCCAAGGGGGAGCAGGTGGAGGGACAGCACCTATTCCCCCCACCTGGGGTGGCCCAGCGACAGTAACCTACTGCGCGGTCAAGACACATTTCTGCCAAAAGCCGCTGGGTTTCAACATTTGTTTCTGAGTCTCTGAGATCATGGCCATTAAGCAGTTCAATCAGGAACCAGAGAGGCCATGCCTCCAATTATATAGCTGAGCTGAAGGTGATTTGTGGGTGTGTCTCCCACATGCCTAACTTTTGGCCATTTACTTTCTTGGTAAACTTTGCCCCAAGTTTTTGGGGTCTGGTCAAAGGCACAGAAGGAATTTTGGGGTATCTGGAAGTCTGAAGGTGCCATCAGGCTGCAGATGCACTCGCCTCACAGGTACAGATTGACTTGCTGGTGGCACCATACCCCCTAAAACCAGGTACTATTTCTTAACTAGAGAAATTGACATGATACAAGGGTACAGGGTTTATTTTGTCTCTTAATAAAGAAGAGAGATGTTAGACAGCTAAAGGGATGAACAGATAGAAGGATCATTATGAAAGACAGCCTTCAGTCTACTCACTTCAGAAAGGAATAGCATGAGGGGGAAGAGCATAGATTAGGGGACCAGCAGCCTAGATCCACGACTCAGATCTACTGGGAAATCTTGGGAAGGACCCTGTGCTCTGTCTCCTCTCCTACATGTGAGAGCAAGCCCCCCCACCCTCCGACTGTACCGAAGCTTGAATGAGTTGATGCGGTAACAGCTAACAGATGGAGGGACATGCAGGCTGGCACTATCCAGGGGCTGAGCACATGCTGGCTGGAATGTGGCAGAGGAAAAATAGATGAGGCCCCCCAGAAGGCAGACGACACAAAAAGAATCACACCAGGAGTTGGAGGCCCAAGTTTGCTCCATGGCTTGCTTAGTGATCCTAGACCACAACCATTTAGCACTGGGAAGAGTTTTATGAAATCATCTCATCATTGCTGAAGATGTCTCACCGTCCTCTGTTGTAGGCAACATAAAGCTGTCTAGAGCTAGTGAGGGGAGCACCCCTGGTGTTTGAGCCCCCTTAGTAAGCCCTCATCTATTTGGGGTCCTCATTACTCCACTGATCTTCCTGGAGCTCTGAGTGAGAGCTTCTGGACCTCATATTGTCTGTCATCTACACAGTCTCTGTCTCCATGGGACTTCCTCCAGACAGAGCCACAAAGACCAGTTATATGTCTACTTAGGCAGCTGTAAACTGAGCGGGAACATGCCTATTTCATTCCTAAGATAACTTAGTTTACAATGAATTAATTCAGCTCACTACTCTGTAAGAAATGAAAATTTCTTATATGTATCTGATGACATTTTACAAAAAATGGTACATGTTTTTGTGATCTTTATTTTTTGTTTGTTTTTTTAGGACCACACTTGGTTGTGCTCAGGGATCACTCCTGGCTCTGGACTCAGAGATCACTCCTGGTGGACTCAGAGGACCATACGGAATATCAGGGATCAAACCTAGGTGAGCCATGTGCAAGACAAGCAGCCTCCCCACTGTACTATTGCTTTGGCCCCATAATCTTTAATTTTTTTTTAAAAAATCATATACAAACCAAAGCATTTAAGGAGAAAGTGGTTAATTGTATTTACATGAACAAAGAGGATGGGAAAACTAATACACAAAGTGAAAAGGCATTTGTGGTAGACATGCTTGTGGGGGTGAAAGAAAGGCAGATGACAGTGTACACAAAGAAGGAAGTAGGTGCTCTGAGCTTAGGAGGCGTGAGGAAACCCCCATCTGAAATATCCTTTCTAAAGGCTCTCCACTGAGGTTTGGGGTCTCCGGAAGACTGCCAAACCCCACAAACAAGCATAAACAGACCCCCAAGGAAGTGAGTCTTCCTCATTTCTACAGAAGCACATGACTGAACAAATCATATTGGTACGAAATCGTGAGTCATGTCTTTCAAGAAGCAAAACAGGGGCTGGAGAGACAGCGAAGGAGGTGAGGCACTTTGCTCTGCACCTGGCGAACACCACCTCAGTTCCTGGCTCCAGGAGAGAATCCGAAACACAGAGCCAGGACTAGCCCCTAAATACTGCCAAGTGTGGAACAAAAACCAAACAACAAAAAGAAGATCCCAAATAGTTGTTGACTTTTGTGCCATGCTTTGTTTGGTTTTTGTTTTGTTTTATGGTCACACCCAAAGATACTTGAAAGTATTTTTTGATTCTATTCAAAATGTGGGCTGGAGCAATAGCACAGCAGGTAGGGCATTTGCCTTGCATGCGGCTGACCCGAGTTTGATTCCTCTGCCCCTCTCTGAGAGCCCGGCAAGCTACCAAGAGTATCTTGCCCACATGGCAAAGCCTGGAAAGCTACCCTTGATGTATTTGATATGCCAAAAACAGTAACAAGTCTCACAATCTGTTGTTAGACGTTACTGGTGCCTGCTCGAGCAAATCGATGAACAATGGGAGGACAGTGCAGTGCAGTTCTTATTCAAACATGTACTACTAACAACCAAACCCACTGTAAATACCCACCATGTGATTTGTCTTCCAAAAAAACACATTTCATCAAGTTACTTCTTGCTCTACTATCAGATACAGTGGCTTCCACTAGCACAGGGTACTATTCAGAGCCCCAAAATAGGACCCAAAAGTCTTCCCTTCCTACTGCCCCCAAGGAAATTGGCTCCCTGTGCTCCTCTCCTCCACAGGCTTTTGCTAGGCTCCCTAAGGACTGTTCAGCTGGCCTGAAACCCAAATCAAACACCTTTATTGAGCTAGCATGGATTTTAAATTTTTTAGAAAATTTCATCAAATTTCAAAAAAGAACACTGGGCTAAAAGATAGGATAGCACGAAGGATGCTTGCCTTGCACGTGTCTGACCTAGATTAGGTCCTTGGTACCACACATGGTCTTCCCACCGCATCAGGAGTGATCCCTAAGCTAGGAGTAAGCCTTGAGTACTGCTGGTGTAACTCAAAACTGAAACAAAATCAAAACATAAAAAGAAGATCAGAGCAATAGCACAGCGGGTAGGGTGTTTGCCTTGCACGCGGCCAACCCGGGTTCGATTCCCAGCATCCCATATGGTCCCCTGAGCAGCGCCAGGGGTAATTCCTGAGTGCAGAGCCAGGTGTGACCCAAAAAGCCAAAAAAAAGATCAGAGCCATTTGGGGCCCCCCGGCCCCCACTGGGCATGATGGCTGCAAACACTGGAGGTGCTTTGGGGACTTGGAAACATCAATAAAAAGCTTGGAGGAACCACAGCTTGTTTCCAGCTATAGCTTAAAGAGATGTAGGAGAGATAGGCCAGGCAGAAAACCCTGGCCTGGAGTCCTGAGCTCAGCCCCCAGCACCTGGAGCACCTCCAGGTGGTCCCTGTGACCTGTCCCTGCACTGCTGGGTCAGCCTCAGAGAGCCAGAAAGTGACCCCAGGTGCTCAAGCACAGCTGGGGAGGCCCCCAAAATACAAAACAATAAAATCAATACTGCAGGAGGGACTCTGCTCACTTTCCCCCGTCTACACCCGGTGAGTGCAGGGGGAGAGGCCGAATGGATATAGCAGCACCTCAGAGGAATGCAGAGGTCTGTGTTCACTGCAGCTACCACCTCCCTTTCCAAAATATTCCTATTATGGAAAGTGACAACTCTTGTGGCAGTTCTGCTCCCTGGTGATGTTCTTCTCACCTCAGTCACACCCTCTCTTTATCCAGGATGGCAAGGAAGTGGTTCTTGGGTACCAAAAAGAGCGCAAACTCTGGCAACATGCAATACCAAATTCTTTCTCTCATGGACCATTAATTTGTACTAGTCTCAAATTAGCCAGAAGTTTCACTTGGCTGGTTGGTTTTGGGGTTTTAGGGTTGCCCCCAAGAAACCCTCCCAGTGTCAATGGGGGTCTGCTAGGGCAGTACTGGGTGTCAGAACCGGACCTCCCTCAGCAACGCCAGTCCTTGAGCTGTCACTCTAGCCCAGGAAATTTCGCAATTAACAAACCAACACATGGTTTACTCACCAAACACAATTAAAGAGAACTTCTTTGTATTATCAAATTCATAGACGCCTTCATCTTTTGAGGATAAACCAGAGATGTTGAGGTTCCCAGACGTGATGTCTAAGTGAATCCTACCCTCAAAGGGGGGAAACACCCGGGGTTGGGAGCCATAGTCCCACTCAGCTACTTTATCCTTCTCTTTCGTCCAGAGAATTTCAGTAAGGGGTAACGAGTTTGATACGTGGAAAGTCACACTCTGATTCACAGCTCCATAAACGGACTCACTGCTAACTGAATCTAAGGTAGAGAAAGAGGGAAAAAAAGTTAGAAATAACATAACTTGATTGAAAACTAAAACCTATTTTCAAGGATGCTCTTTTTTGGGGATAAAAATTAACAAGTTAGGGGGACAATTCCTTACCACCTTTTGTGCTATATTGGTATACTACTAACAGGAAATAGAAAATGCATGAGCATGGAAGTGACTTCTTGGTTTTTTGAACTAGAAAAGTGAATTAGAAAGTAAAGGGAAAGTAAAAGAAATGCGCCGGAGGGTTTACACTTAGGGGTGGAACTTAACATAGGACTAAGTTGAGAGGTGAGTATTTTTTTTTTAATTCATTTTTTGTTGTTTTTGGACCACACCCAGTGATACACAGCGGTTACTCCTGACAGTCCTCGGGGGACTGTATGGGGTGCTGGGGTTTACTGTATGGGTGCCCAGGATTGCGTGTCTTCTCCCCGCACTCTGACCCTTCCCAGCTGGCTGCCTCCTCTTGTCCACCCTTCAGTGATCTGCTGCTGGAGGGTTTCAGCGGGACTCCTAGGATCAACCCTTCAGCAGTGACTTCTTCCCTCCTTGGTGTCTCTCTGCGGCCCAGGGCGTGGAGAGACATGTGTCATAGGGAACTGGGGCCTCTGTGTCAGAAAGGATCAGAGTCACCAACTGCATCTGCAGGCCAAGCCGGGAGTAAGGCAGTCAGCAAGTCAGTGGCCACCCACCCTGCCATGTGTTCGAGCAGTGGTGAGAAACCAAGGAGGAAAGAAGTTGCTGGTGCAGGGCTGTCCCCGGGAGACCCAGAAACCCTCCCGAGATGTCAAGAGGAGGCAGCCAGCAGGGAGGGTCAGAGATGCAGGAGGAGGGCATGCACAGGGCCAGGCCGCGGGCCATTAGACCCTGAATAGGGGAGAGCTTGGGGTCTGGGGAGATCAGAGAGATCACCAGGACTCAGGGTCTGGGAGGTGGTACAGGGTCAGGTGTCATTCTGATGTTCAGGAATCCAGCTCGATTCTGGCATCCAAGGATCCCCCAGTACTACCAGGAGTCCCCCGGGAACCTCCAAAGCACCCCTGGTGGCCCGAATGGTCTCTGGCTGCAGGTCCTCACCAGCACCTCATCCTTGGCTTTCAACTGTCCAGCCCAGGTGGCAAGTATGGCTGGAGTGGCCACAGGGCCCCCCCCAAGTATGGCCACAGAGAGCGGTCAGGTTCCTTCGCAAGAGCCAAGGGTGGACAGAGCCTGACAGGCCCACGTGAGGTCCTCCACCCCTCACTCCCGGGCGCAATCCCCAAGCACCTCTAGTGTACCCCCAAACCAAAATAATATTAATAAAGATTAACTTTAAGACTGGAAAGCAAGTTGGGAATGAGACGGAAGTGCTCAGAGACTGGGACAGGGGTGCCCAGAGCCTTTGCCGTCACCCTTAGAGCCCATGGCTGGCGCCTCTGCTTATTCATAACAGTGAAGTCTGGGGGGCCCTGGGAACTTATGAGGGTGAGAATATTTACGGCAAATAAACTGACCAATGCTTTAAGTCAGAGCGTCCTGCTCCTCCACACTAATCTGCCTGTTAAAGATTTACTACCCGCCCCCAGATGGGGGTATTTTCCATACCCAAGAGTCAGTTTCCATGTGAATCTAACTCCAGACTTGACTTTCTTTTTAATAGAGAAGAGTAGCTGTTCAAGTGAAGACCCTAGAGATGAATTATTTTGCTAAGAGCCATCCAAGTAGTGAAAGTCATGGGGGAATAGAGGCCGTGAACTAGACATCTTGGAGTGACAGTGCTTAGAAGCTTCAAAGGAGAAGCAGACAGCCTCAGTTTGTCTCTTAGCACTTATTTTTGGAACCCACCTCCCTTAATTAAGAGGAACTGTTCTCAATAGCCCCACCAGCAACCTTCCTTTGCTTGGCTGGTCAACCAGAACACAACGAAATTGTCTAGAATTCTGAGAGGTGAGAATCGCCGCCGACCAGAAGCCCAAATCGTGCTATGAACCAACAGGTGGGTGGAAGGACAGTATGTGCGGGGGTGGGATACAGGTCCTGGTGTCTGAAGAGAGAGGTGCCTTCCCGGGGAGAGGGTGTTAGCTGGGGGTGAAGAAGTCAGAAAGGACCTAGTGGTGGATGAAAGAAAGAGTGGAGAAAAGAAAGACCCGTTCAGAAGGAAAAAAGTGAGGTGACAAGGACCCAGGGAAAGGGCAGAATGTTCTGGAATGCCTGCTCTCTGCACTGCTCAAACTCTCAGGTCCCTTTCAGCACCCGCCACCTTCAAGAGCAGCTGCCACTGGCCCCGCATGGCGGGTATGGGGAAAGGCTCCAGGGGACAGAGCACTGCAGTAGCTCGCGTGTGAAGCAGAGAAGCCCAGGATACCACAACCCCACTCCTTGCTCAGGTCACCACTGCTGGGACTGGCCATTAGTCAGTCGCTGAAAACACAGTTTGGGAGTTGTTTGGGCAGGCACCCTGGGGTGGGGCTACTGAGGTGAACAGAGGAGGCTCCCCAAACTCTGAGAACATGAAGCTGGGGGGGGGGGGCTCCTCGGACAGATGGGGGACACGCCTAGGCAGGGTGAGGGTGAAGCCTTTACTCTGCCCTCTGACCCCTGTGGTCACCTCCAATTATGTTATCTGCAGATTCTTCAATATTTCTCTCCCTACATAGATTCATGATACCTTATAAAACCCCCACCAAGTTAGGGGTGGAGAGATACTAGAGCAGCGAGTGTCTGCCTTGCACGCAGATGACCCAGTTCAAACCCTAGCACTCTATACGTACAGTACTTTTGGATTCCGCCTTAGTTGTGACTCCCAAGTGGTTCCTGAGTCTGTTGTGAATGGTCCCTGAGCGCACAGCCAGAAGCAAGCCCTGCACCCTGCCAGGTGTGACCCAGAAGTCAAGAACAAAATAAAAAATAAATAAACCCCACCAAGTTATCTGACATGGCCCAACTCTATTATTATTATTATTATTATTATTATTATTATTTTAATGGCTGCTTATTTATTGGTACCACATACAAACTGACCATCCTCAATTAGCCATCTCTGCTGCCGAACACTCTTTCGTCCCGAGATCCTTTTACTGCAGCAACACTGTAACAGCTATCCTGGTACATATTCCTATGGATTACAGCTTCATACTGATGGGAAGGGTCCTGGGAGTGGGGCCAGGAAGTGCTAGATTGTTTTTATTCAATTTTTAAATGTTAATAGAAGTGCCACATTGCTTACAAGGGGGTGGGGGGATTTCTAGCATTTACATTTCATCAGTAATGCCAGAATCATATTTTCCTGGCTCTTCTGCTAACATTCCCAACACCAGGGGCTTGCTTTGTAAATTTTTGTCTTGTACTAGGCAAAAGTGACATTTAGTTGCTATTTGAATGTGTGTTTTCAGGTGAGGGGTATACCAGAGCCCAGATTCAATCCCCAGCAGCAGGAGCACGAGCTGGTCAGTGACCCTCCTCAGGGCACTGCTGATGACACAGCTGAGTTTTTGCTCTTTACAGGCAGAAAGAGGGGCCCTGGCTGGGAGGAACATACCAGTGGTTATTGAAAAGATATGATACACTAGCCATATTTTTAACTACTGCAGGTTTGTTTTCATGAAACTGAATAATCTTTTCTTTTTAAAGACACAAAGGTAATCAATAACCCATAAACCATGTATCTTTTTTTTTTTTCATTTTTTAGAATTTTATTTATTGAATCACCTTGAGAGCAGTTACAAAGCTTTCGGGTCTAAGTCTCGGTCATACAATGAAACACCTGTACCTTCACCAGTGGTCATTCACCACCACCAAAAACCCCAGTATACTCCCATCCCACACCCTCTCCCTACCTGTGGGGCAGATGATTTCCACATTACTTTCTCTCTCCACTTTGATCACATTCAATATTTTGTATCTTTTTTTGATTGTTTTGTTATGGGGCCATACTTGGTGATGCTCAAGGGTTACTGCTGACTCTGCACTCAGGAATAACTCCTGGCAGTGCTCAGGGGACCATATCAAATGTTGGAAATTTAACTGGAGTTGGCTGCATGCAAAGTAAGTGCCTTATCCATTGTACTATTGCTCTGGCCTCCATACCATAAATCTTGAAAAGAAAAATACTCCAATTTCAGTGAAGGAAAGTGAACACAGGTAGAGGGTGTGTTGTTGGAATATTGTATGTTTTGAAACCCTATCATTAACAGTCTTGTAAATCACTGAGCTTCAAAAGAGAAAATAAAACCCACAAATTCCTATTTCAAACATTCTACTGCAATGTCCTAACAAAATGACAGAACACCCTATTTTCGACAGTTGTTCTTACATAGCTTGTAGTAAGAAGTGGATCCTAAATATTCTGATGATGAGTTCTGACTGTATTTAGGAACCACAGTCAACATAACTGTGGGTTTAATGAAAATGAAGCCTCACAACCAGATATAAAATCCTCTATGCATTTTGTCATGTGTTCTGGGATTTAGCTATTTTGGTTAATTTCATCAACTCACAGGCAGCACACAGTGTTCGAAGTTAGAGATGAGTGTACACTTATGAATCCTTGTAAGTCTTTACTAAGGAGGTGTTTTTGATTTTTTAACCATTTTGACAAAGAGGGAAAGTGATGGCCACAAAGGTTAAATGATTTTCTAGTTAAGTGGAGAAGCTGGTTCTGACCCCAGATAGTGTTACTCCAGCAGGCTGTACTCATAGTTTATTTGGCATGAAATGTGGCAATAAGGCTACTTAAGACAGTAGCTACATGTGAGATTTCTCAGGATGCAGATTTCTCATTTCCCAAACTCACAGAAACAGAAGACAAAGGGAATGAGAAACTCAAACCAAACTGCTCTCTCTCTCTCTCTCTCTCTCTCTCTCTCTCTCTCTCTCTCTCTCTCTCTCAGCAATACCAGGCTGTGCTCAGGGTTCACTTTCAGCTCCATGCTCAGGGGTCAATCCTGGCGGTGCTCGGGAAACAGATGAGGTGCCAGGGATGAACCTGAGTCAACTATGTGCAAGGCGA